GCGCGGCATTTCCTCGACGCCGCAGGGGGTGCGCTGGGGGTGGGGGCGCTATGCGTTGCAGGCTCGCTAGGCATAGCACGCGCGGCACTTCCTGGACTGCGCAGGGGGTGTGCAGGAGGGTGGGTGCGCTATGCGTTGCAGGCTCGCAGGGCATGGCAGGCGCAGCATTTCCTCGATGCCACAGGGGTGCGCTGGGCGTGGGGGCGCTATGCGTTGCAGGCTCGCAGGGCATGGCTGGCGCGGCATTTCCTCGACTCCGCAGGGGGTGGTGCGCTGGAGGTGGGGGCGCTATGCGTTGCAGGCTCGCAAAACAAGGCAGGCGTGGCATCTCCTCGATGCCTCCGGGGGTGCGCTGGGGGTGGGGGCGCTATGCGTTGCAGGCTCGCAGGGCATGGCCGGCGCGGCATTTCCTCGACGCCGCAGGGGGTGCGCTGGGGGTGGGGGCGCTAAGCGTTGCAGGCTCGCTAGCAAGTATCAAAGCACACGCGCGGCACTTCCAGGCTCGCTAGGCATAGCACGCGCGGCATTTCCTGGACTGCGCAGGGGGTGTGCAGGAGGGTGGGTGCGCTATGCGTTGCAGGCTCGCAGGGCATGGCAGGCGCGGCATTTCCTCGATGCCACAGGGGTGCGCTGGGCGTGGGGGCGCTATGCGTTGCAGGCTCGCAGGGCATGGCTGGCGCGGCATTTCCTCGACTCCGCAGGGGGTGGTGCGCTGGAGGTGGGGGCGCTATGCGTTGCAGGCTCGCAAAACAAGGCAGGCGTGGCATCTCCTCGATGCCTCCGGGGGTGCGCTGGGGGTGGGGGCGCTATGCGTTGCAGGCTCGCAGGGCATGGCCGGCGCGGCATTTCCTCGACGCCGCAGGGGGTGCGCTGGGGGTGGGGGCGCTAAGCGTTGCAGGCTCGCTAGGCATAGCACGCGCGGCATTTCGGGTGGGGGGGTGTGCAGGAGGGTGGGTGCGCTATGCGTTGCAGGCTCGCAGGGCATGGCAGGCGCGGCATTTCCTCGATGCCACAGGGGTGCGCTGGGCGTGGGGGCGCTATGCGTTGCAGGCTCGCAGGGCATGGCTGGCGCAGCATTTCCTCGACGCCGCAGGGGGTGGTGCGCTGGAGGTGGGGGCGCTATGCGTTGCAGGCTCGCAAAACAAGGCAGGCGTGGCATTTCCTCGATGCCTCCAGGGGTGCGCTGGGGGTGGGGGCGCTATGCGCTGCAGGCTCGCAGGGCATGGCCGGCGCGGCATTTCCTCGACGCCGCAGGGGGTGCGCTGGGGGTGGGGGCGCTAAGCGTTGCAGGCTCGCTAGGCATAGCACGCGCGGCATTTCCTGGACTGCGCAGTGGGGTGTGCAGGAGGGTGGGTGCGCTATGCGTTGCAGGCTCGCAGGGCATGGCAGGCGCGGCATTTCCTCGATGTCACAGGGGTTCGCTGGGCGTGGGGGCGCTATGCGTTGCAGGCTCGCAGGGCATGGCTGGCGCAGCATTTCCTCGACGCCGCAGGGGGTGGTGCGCTGGAGGTGGGGGCGCTATGCGTTGCAGGCTCGCAAAACAAGGCAGGCGTGGCATTTCCTCGATGCCTCCGGGGGTGCGCTGGGGGTGAGGGCGCTATGCTTTGCAGGCTCGCAGGGCATGGCCGGCGCGGCATGTCCTGGACGCGCCGTGTGCATGCTCGCAGGGCGCCGCGTTTCCTCGACGGCACAGGGGGTGCGTTGGGGGGCGCCGTGCGTTGCGCATAGCAGGCGTGGCATTTCCTCGACGCCACGGGGGGTGCGCCGGGGGTGGGGGCGCTGTCCGCCCCGGTCGCCCACGGCGCAGCAGGCGTTGGTTTCCTTGTTCGACGGCCTTTGTAATCATGCGATGGGGCGTCCTCCAGCGTCGCGTTCGCCCGATCAACAGCTGCTGCCGCGAAATCCCACCAGCCCTCTGGGCGTCGGTGGTTTAGAGCGTTTCCTCTTCCACCCCTCCTTCTTCCCCTTCGGGGAGGGGTTTACCCCTCCCCCTACCCCCTCCCCACTGACCTGGACAAGGGGGTTCCGCGGCGCGTTGGAGCGCCCAAGATCGACCCCTGGGAGGGCTAAAATTCGACATCCCTCACGAGGATCGTGGCTCCTGAGGGGGGGACTGTAATTAGGGAACCCCCCTTCGTTGATCGATCTCCTCCAAGATGGCTCCGAGGCCCCCCAAGAGGCCCCCAGGAGGCCCCCAAGAGACCCCCAAGAGGCCCCTCCCGAACGGCCCACAGAGGCCCCCCCGAGGCACCCAAGACGCCGAAAAGCCCCTCAGGACGACCCTCTACTCGCCTGGGCGTCGTTTCTGGACGGGCTGGTGGGGATACTTTTTTTTTTTACAGCCGCAGGCGGAAGCGCCAGCGGCAGGCGGTCACGGTCGGGCTGCGGCCGCGACAAGGGGGCGGGCGCGCGCGGGGCCGCGGTCAGGCGGCGGGCAGCAGCAACCCAGGGCGTCTGAGCCAAAGCGTGCAAATCCAGGGAGTCTGCAGGGCAGCCCCTGAAAGGAACATGCAACGGCGCATCCAGGGAGTCTGACAACAGCCACCGAGGAAAGCCGAGCGCAGCCAAAATGGCGCGCAAAGCGTTCCCGACAGATCGAGAACGAACGGGTGGGGAACGATCCGAGCGGGACGTCTATCCAGGAGTCTGACGGGTAGAAACAGACTGACTGGTGACACAGTCCAGCGGGGAAAAACTCTGACGGCGCCAGCGGACCATCGCGACGTCAGAACACGCATCCAGGGAGTGGAACCAAAGTCGCCAGCGGGAGAACCATCCGCAACTGAGATGCGCCTGAGCCCATGGCTGGTGGGGATACGCGAAGCGTCTAGAATTGAACATTCGGGGCGGCCGAGGGCTCTCCGAGTCCCCCGAACCCGAGCCATACGTCTCCCCGACGAGGGTCAGGAGGGGGAAAACACACACAGACACAAATAATCATCGTATCCCGGGAAACATGGAAAAATATATGGGAAGTGGGGGGGACGACGAAAATCAAACAAGTATGATCAAATTTTGGGAATCCTGAGATTTGTGTGTATCTATTTGTATGTCCCCAGGCGGGGCGGGGCCGGTCGCGGGCGCTGTCGCGGTGCTTCCGCGCCTCCCGCCTCTCCCGCCTCTCCCACGGCGTCCGCTCTTGCTGGCGACCTCCCTCCGAGCAGACCCACCGGGAAGGTGTGCGCCCCTGGCCTGGCAGGTTTCGTTTGCGGTTTCTCTTTGTTTGTTTCTATCCTTCGGTGGTAAGTCAGGGGAGCCTATGCCCTCTTCATTCTGTCTTTAGCGTCGAGTAGCGCCCGGGAGTCCATGGGATAGCGTCGGTTTGCGTCGATTTAGCGTCGATCTAGCGTCTATTCGCGAGAGCCAACAAGACGGTATGGGAGGCTCCCATGAGTTGGCACAGAAGCATCCGCTCCTGCGGGCGACCTTCTGTCTTCTCGGTGTGGAGCCACGGAGAGTCCTCTTCGGGCGACGCGCCCTGCAGCAACAGTACAGCCTCCTTCGTCGCTGGCGGCCGAAGATCGAGGTTGTCGGTTCTATGTTCTCGTTGGTTGCAGGTGTGCGGGGGGTGTTCAAGTGGGCATTGGGGGCTTCGGGGGGACAGGAGGAGTTACAGAGGAGGCCCATGCCAAGACACACCCTGCTTGCCGCCAGGGTGCCCGGGGCTTCTTGGGATTTGACGGTTTTGCGATGGCAAGCGTGACGTTCCCATTCCAAAGAGTCAATGGACGTCCTGGGGTCTCAGGGTTGGGTTTCTTGTGGAAGATTCCTTGTGGTCGAGCCCCTAGTGCACATCATGCCTGCAGGAGGGAAGGCGCAGCCTTCCCTTCTGGTGCATGGATGCACGCAGTAAACCACACGGCGAGCAAACAGAGCCTCAGCCGTAGGAGGAAGGAATCCGCTCGCGGTCGCCAGTTCTCGGCGGCGAGAGAGGGGGGAATTGAGAAGGAGAAGGCTTTCTCAGAAGGCGGCGGGACTTCTCAGAAGCCCTCGCGCCTTTTGAGAAGTTTTCTGCGCCTCCGGGGAAGGCTTCAGGCAACTTTTCAGATGGCCAGGGGATTTCCGAGCCTTCTGGGAAGGCCTTCTCCTTCTCACTTCTCCCCCTCGCTCGCCTCCGAAGTTCGGCATCCTTTCCGTTCTCTCCACTCCCCCATTCCGTCAATTTGCGTAGCAAATTCGTCCAAGTTCAGCACGTCCCCCTCCCTCCGACTCCTTCCCTGTCTCCCACTCTTCCTCCCGCGCTCTTCCCCCCTCCACCAGAAGGACCTGGGCCATTGGAGGAGGGGAGGAGGAGGCAGAGGATGCTCTCCTCCCCCACCCCCACCCCTCCATGAAGCAGCCCGCGCGCGAGTTGCCTTTTCACGGCTACTCGCTGCGGGTGCGCACGGTGGGGCTTGGAAGGACTGTTTTTTCCATCCGCCAGCTTCTGACTGTTGTCCATTATCCAGCAGCCCAACTTCTCTTCTCATCCATCCATCTTCCTTGCGCACGGTGCGGCAAATCATTCTCGTCGCGATGTCAGACGTCAGTGCGCAAGGCGACCCAGACGTGTCATCAGTTATACCTTCCCGTTTGAACGTGATGCTTGCCCTGGAGCTGCGTATTCCAACAGCTAACTTCACGGATGGACGGATGCACAGCCCATTTTCAAATTACGGTTGTTTAATTGAGCGCCGCAAATATTAGTGGTAATCACCTCAAACAGTTAAATGGATGGACGATCGGCCGTTATCACGTTGTTGCCCTTCCCCTAGCGACGCACACAAGCGTCCCGAACAGTTCCAAGTGTGTAGAACAGCCACACGGATGAAGGATGGGCCGTTCAGAAAATGTGGTCTTCGCCATCACTTCACGTACACTTGCCATGAAAGTGTCCAACACTTACGCGGACGGAGGGCTGTTGTTTTTCAAAGCGCGGCTCGCTTTCGCGTTGCGCACAGTCACTTTTCACCGATGCCAGCAATGATGTTGATGAAGGGCGGTTCGCTATATATGTATACACATATCGATTCGTTTTCCAAACAGCTTTGCACGCCCCATACGCAAGCCGCCTGCAGATGTGAACGGTCCGTTCCATCGCCGCCATTGCTCAAGTTTTTCGGGCGGCAGCGCCATCCCAGCTTGTATGGGAGTCCTCGGGCTCCTGAGCAAAGCGGCCCGCGGCGCGATCGCCATTCTCGATTCGGTCGGGCCAGGGCTTGGGCCGCTGGCCGAGGAGGCTTCTGACTGTGCGCTGGCGGTGGGCTCGTTCGGGAGCATCCGATCGCTGGCGATCCTCTGTCTGCTGGCGGGCTTCATCGCCGGTGTGAGTTTGACCTTGTGCTGCTGCCTCGGCGGACATGTCCTATCTACGACCTGGGCGTCGCGTTCGCCTCCAGTGGGAGGTGGGCGGTACCTGGCAGGATCGGATCTTGTTGTGCGAATGCCAGAGTTCGGAGTGCGAGGCAGAGCTGGAGGTGACGCCGAGTCCGACGGAGATCGCTGGTCACCGCGTGTGGTACGCTCTCACCCCAGACCTGGACGTGTATCCTCACATCCTGTCGGAGGGCCATCTCGCAAGCTTCGTGTCGCTGAAAAACGACGGGTCGCTGATGACGGAGTCGGCGTTTGGGCAGCGGTGGAGGGCAGCGAGTGCGGCATACGGCGCCGAGTGGGAGCCGACCGCGCTCGAGGTGTGCGAGGCGCTGGAGGCGGTGAGGCCAGGGTGCTTGTCTCTCCAGGGCGGCGAGAAGCCCCCCAGGCGTATGAAGGGGAAGGCCCCGTGGAGGTCGACTCCAGCAGCAGCAGCGGCAACTAGCCCGGCGGAGGAGCTCTATCCAGGCATGCTGGTGTGGTCAGGTCCGCTGCCCGCCAACGACGGGCTGAGCTGGTATGTGCTGGCGGCGGAGAACCCGACGGAGCTCAGGCAGGCGGTGCGCTATCATGACTTCGACGGTTATTTGGTCGTGGGGAAGGTCGGCATCGCCACGCGGGGGTCCGACACCATGCTGGTGAAGGCAGTGGACCCCTCGGCTCCTGGCCCGGAGCTGGAGACTGACGCGCGGGTGCTGGACATCAAGACGAGGCTTGACGGCAGTCGCCATCGTCACTTCACCGAGGCCGCCCGCCTGGTGTCGACCACGGAGTGGGCCGAGTGGCCCATCATGGGCCCGAGGACGGCGGCCTGGTGCTTGGAGTTTCTAGCGCGCCAGGACCAGCATCCTCGGGCCCGACACGCGAAGTGGGTGCACGAGTGCAGGCTGGAGGCCACGGATGAGGGCGTCGGGGACCACGACCTCGCCATGCGCATGGCGGAGCTGGGCCTCAGCTTCGACCAGTTGAACCTTGGCGAGCTCGCCTCATTCGAGCTCTTGATGCGGAAGGCCCAGATGGCCGAGTGGCGGCATCGTGATCGTTTTGCGGCCGTCCAGGGCGACGACCTGATGGAGGAGAGCTACCTCTACCTCGGCGCGGGTGAGACTCGAGGGTTGGTGATGGTCGCGCCGGCACTGGTCGATCGCATCAACTCGGAGATGCACCGCGAGGCCCAGATCCTCAGGGAGCGCCGCAAGGCGAAGGAGGAGAGGATGCTCTCGCGAGGCGGCAGCAGCGGCGCTGCTGGGTCCAAGGCGGAGCTGCAGAAGAAGATCCAGCAGCAGGCCGCCGAGCTCAGGAAGTTTCAGGAGAAGGGCAAGGGGAAGGACCAGGCGGCCGGCCGTGGGGCCGGCCGGGGCCAATGACGCGGCCACCTGGGATCGCGCCCCGCGAGCTGCTGCCACTTAGCGGCGGCGCGAACTGCCGACAGCCCCGCTGGGTTGTCGAGATCGGTGTGCTCACGAGTACGCCGCCGCATGCGCGTGACGAACTGGGTCGCCGACGCGGCTGAGAGCCTGAATGCTTTGTATGGTCATGGCGGCGCCCGAGAACATTTTTCAGTTTCAGCCGGGCAGCAACGCAGCCTGGAATTCATGCAGCCCATCATCGAGCAGGCGGGGTCGCCTCCCTGCTCACCCGCGGCAGCCCACCAGGAGCTGTGCGGCCACCAGCCGGGCTACGTGACAGAGCCCGAGCATCCAGCCCAGTACCAGAGGGAGATCTTCTCCCTGCCGGGGCCAGGCGCGCGCTGCGATCCCAGCGACGCCCTGTGCGGCCTCGAGCACGATCAGTGGGTACATTGGGAGAGACATTTGCTGCGCCGAACGCCTGCGCCTGACAAGAAGATCAAGCTTCACAATGATCGCAATCTCATGGCGGATAGGCGGCGCTATGCGCAGTTCATCCTGGACCTGTGCACCTCCGGCCTCATCAGAGTAGGGGCCAAGCGCAGTGCCACGGCGGGCGTGTTTTGTGTGTGGAAGAGCGGGCGAGAACGGCTTCGGCTCATCTTCGATACGCGACGTGTCAATGCACGGTTTCCTGACCCTGATCATTCCCAGTTACCCAGTGCTGCCGCGTGGGCGGCGCTGCGTACCGATCCCTCTTCTTCTTTGAGTATGGCTCAGGCCGACGTGGACAACGCCTTCTACAGGGTGAAGTTGCCTGACAAGATGGATGAGCATTTCTCGTTGCCGAGCGTGCACCTGGGTTCGCTCCAACAGCTGGCCGAGGCGGCTGGGGTGGACATCGACCTGCCCGACGCCCGCTTCGGTTCGCCTCTCTTGCAAGTGTTGCCGATGGGGTGGTCGTGGAGCCTCTACTTCTGCCAGAGGCTGTTGGAGACCACCGTGCTGCGGGCGGGGATCGACATTGGGCCGCTCATCATGGACCGCCACGCCCCCCTGCAGGTCCGCACCTCTTCGACCCAGCCTGGCGCGCACGTCGACAACGTGTGCATCGTCGGCGGCGACGGCGACCGCTGCGTAGCCGACTGCACCGAGGTCGTCAGCGAGCTGGAGCGGGTCGGCTTGAAGTGCAAGGGCGTCATGGAGCCTGAGGACCTGCAGACCTTCACGGGCATCACCTTCGAGAGGCGCAGTGGGCGCGTGGGCATCAGCCCGGGTCGGATGTGGAAGATCCGACTTGCTCTGCTGTTCGTGGCGGACCGCCGCTCGGCTACGGGGGGCGAGATCTTTAGCTTGCTTGGGCACTTTACCTGGGCCGCTCTTCTGATGCGGCCACTTCTCAGTATTTTTCAACAGGCCTACGTCTTCGCCCGTGTCGCTGGTCGCCGCCTGCGGCTGTGGAGCCGCGTGGAGCTCGAGCTGCGGCAGGCGGCCGCCCTGCTGGTCTTCGCTTTCTCCGACTCCAAGAGGCCCAACAGCCCCTTCGTCTATGCCTCGGACGCCTCCAGGGGCCAGTCTGGCTCAGCAGGCGGCTACGGCGTGGCGGGGCGGACCTGGGCCAATGAGCTCGTGGAGCGCACCGCCTCGTCAGCTGAGGCCTGGCAATACTCCGTGCTGGGCGCCATCGGGGCCCGCGAGTGCGCGCTCGGCTTCGACCCGGTCGAGGGGGCCAAGGCCGGTCGCCGCCAGGCACGCGCTGGCTCCACCAGCTTCGAGGGGGTCGCGAGGTCCGCGACCGGTGACTTCAGCGATTGGGGTGTTCTTTTCCACGGCGAGTTTCAGCGTGACGAGGAGATCGCCGTTCTTGAGGGGCGAGCGGCTGTGATGGCATCACGGCGCGCAGTGCGAGGGCGCAGCGGGCATAGTCATCGGCACCTCATCTTGGTCGACAACCTCGGGCTTGCACTCGCGGTTGGAAAAGGGCGTTCCCCTTCCATCACTCTCAATCACGTCTTGCAGCAGCTGTGCGCCATATCCATTGTCACCGACACCACCTTCGTCCTCAGATGGATTCCGTCAGAGTGTAACCCCGCCGACAAGCCCTTTAGGCTCAGGCTTCATCACACGTTGGACGCTCGTGCTGACCCCCGACATGCTGCGAATCTCGGAGGCCCGCCAGTCAGCTCCAGCGGGCACCAGGCCCTCGGTCGGGATGTTGACGCGCTCGTTCGGAGGCGCCACTGCCGTGGCGCCACGGCTTCGGGTGCGGAGCCCGGCGACCCCAGCGGGCCTGGCGCGGCTGGGCTCGGGGGCGCGCTGCACGACGACCCCTGCCCGCTCGGTGGCCTCGCGGGGCTCCTTGGCGGGCCGGGCGCTGGCGGTGCGGTCGCCGACAGCTCCTCATCTTCGAGCTCGGACGGCGACATCGACCAGCAGTGCGAGACCGCCTCCAGCGAGGGCCGAGGCTCTCCGCCTGGCCAGGGCGAAGGCCCGCCGCTCAGCCCACCGCGGCGCAGACGAGCGAGCTCAAGCCGAGGGGCTCACGGTGCTACAGAGCCTGAAGGTCGGCAACGCGTCCCGCGTGTACTTCGAGAAGGAGTACCTGGACTTCCTGACTTGGGCCCGCTCGAGGGGGCTGTCGATCCTGTCGATCCTCGGGCTGCCGTCGATCGACTCGACCTTCTCCCAGTACCTCGATTT